AAGATCATCAACTAAAAAAACAAATCAAAATAATAACAAAAAAACAAAAAACAAAAATTTGATCCTACTATCAACTGTATTGAAATATGTTGATAATAATTCAGATGAATCACTATGGTGTAAAATAGAATTTGACTAAAATAGAAAGAGAAAAACAAAAATAGCTGTTACTAATCACAGAGAGATTATTTTATTCTATATATTTTGGGACACATTTCTTCACTATCCTTATCCAGATACGGTTTCATCAACGTCTATTACGCGGAAAGAGAAGTCTTACTAAAGTATTTACCATAGTCTGTAATAAAGAAGAAACGTTACTAGGGACATCTGGGATGTGTCGTAGCTAGACTTCTGTATTGGACTCCGAAACCTGATTTCGATGAAGTCGGAATAATCGTGAAGAATTTTATTCGGAGTTACATCAATAAATCAGTCAAGCATTTTTACTCTTACATAGTAACAAATGTTAAGTGATGAATGAAATTTTATAAGTTTCGGGACAAAAACAAAGACATTAGAGAGACATTCTTATTAACAAGTACCACTAAAAGACGTGTATATATATATATACTAGTCAAAAAAAATTTGACTCCGTAGGGTTGTAGTCGTTGCTAACGTGTGTGTCAAAATCCCATTGATATGTTTTATAGTTGCTCGTACAAATTTTTACCCAATATACTTCTTCACACTTTTTAGATCATGTGTTTCATAAAATAAAAGGAATATAAAATATTTACATGAATTGAACTATTAGTTGATGTTTTCATTTCAGATTGATATGGTTTTGATAAATCAAAACAATCTGGTAATGGTACTTCAACATAATCAAATTCATTTAATGAATTCATACTTGTTATTGATTCTTTAAATAGACAAAAAAAATCATATAAAATATATTTATTTTATTTAAATAAATAACTTACCAATTTCACTTTCAATTACAGACCATTGACTAACTTCAATTGTACACCATATCATTGGACCAAATGTTTGCTGACGATAAGCAAGAATCCATTTACTTTCATATGTACCTGGTTCATTAGCACACATATAATCAACATTAATAACAGCACGTGCATGTGGTGCTGTTATTGGAACAATTGGTTGTTGAAGAACTTGAATACCATCATTTAAATTAATTAATTGAATATCATTACTATCCCATGGCATTGAACCATCATTAAGAAGTATCCAGCCTTTACGAAATATTTGTCCTGGTTTCATTGGTGTACCATCAGGGGTATTTTCATCAGCAATAAACCGTGCAGAATATGGACTAATATTAAAAAAAAAAAATATATATATATACATTTAAAAATTTTGGTTTTTTTTTAATTTTCTTACTGAAGTAATTTAATTTTTTCTTCAATTTTTAATACTTCACGTAAATCACCATTGGATGTAGCTGATTGAAGATTATCGTAAAGAGCAGCAATTTTTAATTTCATTGGTGCAAAAAAACGAAGAATATCTTCAGGATTTGATCTATTATTCAAAAAAAAAACAAAATATTATTAAAAAAAAAAACAGGAGAAATTTAGAAATTAAAAAATTTATTTACCGATCATAATCTGTATTCGATGGTATTGTTATTGTATTTGATCGTTTGATTTCTTTTTTATTTATATGACCAGTATTCATTGATGTTAATGATGAACGTTGTTCACGATGATGTTTTCGTTTAAGTGAACGTTTCTCTGTTGCAGTTAATAATTCCTATAACAAAAAAAAATAAATACATCAAAATTCAACTTGCTTTTTATGTTTTATCTTACATCAATACAATCCATAACATTATTACGAGTAAATAATGGTGTTGGTATTTGTTCATCTGTTCGTTGTTTTTTAATATTCTTTATATATAACAAAAAAATAAATTATATTTAGAAAAATAAATTCTAAAGAACTATTTACTTGTTGTTCTACATCATTATTATTCATTGTCATTAATCGAATATTTTCAGCAAGAGTTTCATAACAATCATGATGTTTAGATTTTCTTTGTACTGGTATTGATAACTATAAAAATAAAACGATTATAATCAATTTAAGAAATCAATAAGTTTGTTCGTATTGAGAAGATCCGGATATTTTTTGAACCCAACGAACTTTATTTGTCAGACAGTTTCCGATAACAACTTAAAATTTTGCCGACACGACATTAAAAGTGGAGAGGAAAATCAAAAAAAAAACGAAATTTTGTTGTAAAACCTGGACCATAGATAGATCAAGCGATCTGTAGAATAATCGACAAATTTATTCTTTTCTCGAGATATTGAATTTCCAAAAAAACAAAAAAAAAAAATAATCACAGATATGTTGCAAAAATCGGCTTTACTTAAAAATTCAATATCTCAACAAAGAAATAAACTTTCTGGATATTCTAAAGATCATTCAATGTATCTGTCGCCAAAATTTTGTTTTTTTTAAATTTCAGTGCTCACTATTTTTCTTCTTTGTTTAATTTAATTTTTAATATTTTACCTCAATAAGTGGTGTTGTTTCTGAACAACTATCAACCAATATTGATGAAATTTCATCGACATTTGAATCATATGATAATAAACGTAATTTAGCTATTTCATCTTTTAATTCATATTTATAACAAATATCAATTAATGTATCATATAATTCTTTGAACTAGAAAATTTCAAAAAAGAAAAAGTTTTTATTAAAAAACAAGTTTTTTTGCTTTTTTTTTTTACTTCATTAGCAGTATTTTGTGTTTGAAGATATTGAATTGCTTGACGAATTGGTCGTGTAAAAATTAAATGAAAACGATGAGCATTTATACATAAATTACATTTTGAAAATACTTTAAGTAATGCATTATATTCCTAAATATATTTATACATTAAAATTACAAAAAAAAAAAAAAAAAAAACAAATTTTTCTAACAAACCATTGCAGTTGTTATTGAATTTGAAGAATCAACATATTCAAATTGTAAACGAGCATTTTGTAACCCATTTTGTGCAATAAACTATAAGAAATAGTTTTTTTAATGTTTCTATATTTTTACAAAAAAAAAAACTTACACGTTGAATAAGTGATCGAAGCCAACCAAATGTTTCATTACCAATATTTTCACGTAAGAAATCTTCATCTTTTGATGTATATACACGTCGTATTGGTAAAGATTCATTTTTATGTTTTTGAGAAAATGCTGTAGTTGTATCAAATGTCTAAATAATAATATTAAAAACTTTTTTAATATTTTAGAAAAAAAAACATTTTAACTAACTAGAGCAAGTGTATTTAATAATTTTATTGGTACAGGTGGATAACGAAGACGTGTACCAATTAAATCAATAAATAATTCAAGCATTTCAAATATTCCATATTGAACTTCACGTGGCCATGAAAAAACTGATTTAGTAGTTTGTAACTAAAATTTATTGAAATTAATATAAATAAAGAATTTTTTTAAAAAAAATAATATTTACTTTGCAAAATGCTTCCGGTACAATATTTTCAACAAATCGTTTACAATCAGCATTATCTTCAAGTTTATCTATGAACAACGAATGTATATTAAAAAAAAAAGTTTTTTTTTATTATTATTGTAAATACCTTCTTGAGCAATTTTAATTGCTGCTGTAAGACAAACACCTAATGCTTCATCTAGTTTAACTGGTATATACCATTTTTCAGCAAGAACCTTATCTTCAAGTATTCGTAATTTATCAATAGGAAAAGCAATTTTTTCAATTGGTTTTTCTATATAATATATTCCATTAAATATATATTTATCATCAATATAGATAACAAGTGTTAATGATTTAATACCATGATCTTGTGCAAACTAAAAGTTTATTTACACATTGATTTATTGAATAAATCAAAAAAAAATTTTTGTTTTTCAATCTATTTACTTTAACATTTAAATCAAATTCATCTTTAGTTTGTATGCAAATTTCTTCATCTTCTTCATCAATTAAACATATTTTAACTTTACTAGTTGAACCTTGACATAAAAATTGAGTCTAAAAAAGAAACAAGAAATCAATGATAATATTTTCTATCATAAATATTCATTTACATATTGAATTAATCCATTCCAATCAATTACTTCCACAGGCTGTCGTTTGTCCTTATCAGAATTTATATCAACTTGTTCAGTCGACATATTAATAATTTAAAATGAAATGAATATCTACAAAAAAAAAAACAAAAACGCCATTGTATTTATATTAAATAACTTACGAAAGAAAATGCAGTTAAGAAACGTCGACAACAAGAAAAATGAGTAATACGCGTTATAAGCACACGCTGACAAAATGAATCTCTTATTGTGCAAGTCAAAATAAATATACACCCGTTCGAGAAGAAACAAGAAAAAAAAATATGAAGATAGCATATGATGTAAAATAAAAAAAATAAGTGGGAGAAAAATGAAAGTGTAGCAGTCTAGAGCGCTACCATCTACTATTGAATCATGCGGAAGTTTTTTTTTTTTTTTATATGAAAGAACGCAAAAAAAAAGAAAAACCAGTACAATCAACATTATTTCATACAAAATTTTGCCAATCTATGGAGTTGTTTTTTGTTTTTTTTTACAATAATAAAACTTTCTTGCACATAGAAAAAAAAATATTTGTTTTGAAAGAAAAAAAGGGTCATACAACTGGTTTTTACCCCCTTCGAGAAAAAAAAGAAAAAATTTTAAAATATGTCGAATTAAAATCTAATTTATGACTTATCTGTTAATATTAAATTGATATATTTTAAAAAAAAAAAGAGAAAAAGCTAAAATAATCTAAAAAGAAAAATAATTTTAACTTTTCAGAAAAAAAAAAGATTTGTTTTTTTCTTTTCTTTTCTTAAATTTGATGTTATCCTATTTTTTTGTTTTAATATAAATTCTTATTCTCATCATGAGACATGAAATAATCACAATAAACAGCAGAATACAAACAAAACAGAAAATAACACTAAGTTCGTTGCTGTTATATGTGATTGATTGATTTTTATCGTTTCGTTATTTTTTTTTTGTTCTAAAATTTTTGAAATTGTTTCTTTGAACCAGATGATTTAGCAACCTTGAGTACATTAAATCGAACTGTTTTACTCAATGGACGACATTCGCCAATTGTAACAACATCACCGATTTGTACATCACTAAATATAATAATATTTTCTTTTTTAAATATAAATTATTATTTCATACCGAAAACATGGACTCAAATGTACTGACATATTCTTATGTCGTTTTTCAAAACGATTATATTTTCGTACATAATGTAAATAATCTCGACGAATAACAAGTGTTCGTGTCATTTTAAGTTTTAAAACTATACCAGTAAGAATACGACCACGAACACTTACATTACCTGTAAATGGACATTTTTTGTCAATATATGTACCTTCAATAGCCTAGATAATAGAAAATTTATATTTGATTGACAAAAAAAAAAAGCAAAAAAATAATAATTTCATTTATTTACTTCTCGTGGTGTCTTGAAACCTAAACCAACATTACGTGTATAACGTTGAACACGAGATTTTTTACTAGCTTTAATTGAACCTAGTTTTTTATTTAAAAATATAGTTGGTTGTTTTTGAAATGAACGTTCCTAAGAAAGAAAAATTTACGTCAATTTTTTTTGTTATTTTATTAATCATACGTGTTCCATTATTAGTCAATGATGATGATGATGATGGAAACCAGCGATGAAAAAGGTCTAAAAAAGAAAACAAAAATATATATATATGTATATATATAATATTTTAAAGAATTTGCAATTAAATTAGATTAATATGGTCATCTGATTAATTGAATGATTGATTTGATGTAGTCTTTTTGACCTGACCAATCATCGGCCATGAAGAACTTGATGAAACCTTCATTTCCAATCAGGAAAACAAGAATCTAGAAG